CATGTAGCTTTTAGAATTTGAGGTGACTGTTTACACCCAGATGGAAACATTCAAGAGGCAGTTGGAAACCTGGGCCCATGGCCAGGGATGAGTTCATCGACAGTCAGACATATGGTAATTTGAATTTGAAATCCAAATATGAGATGAGGAGAGGAGCTTGAGTACCTCAAGTGAAAGTAAAGCCAAACATAAGGCCCGTGTGGCCAGGCAGCCCATTTGCTCAGAGCTGTTAGGAATGTAGGGCCAAACTTGCGCGGGGCTTATGTATGGTTCCCGTCTCTACCTCTTTCTCCTCATTCTTGCTGTTGACATGCATCTGCTCACTCAGAGAACTCAAGGGACCTCTAATCAGCAAATTAAAGTTTACATTATCCTTTCTGAAGCAGTTGACAGATAACCTTTTCCACTTTCTCTCTTCCTTTAAACTTTGGGGACAGAATTATTCTGGGCTCATTTCTATCTCTCTGATCACATTTGTTCTATCTCTCTTTCCTCTCCTCATCACTTAAATATAAGTACTCTCCGTGATTCTTTATGGCCTCCTTCTCTGGTATTTCTGTGCTTTTTCCTTTAGCAGTCTCATCACGGACCTTGACTCCCAGTGCTTTATGCCTAGTTATAGTCTGTGTTCAGAGTCGCCTCCAATTCTAGCTTTGCTGTTTCTTTCTGTATGAGTGTCCTGAAAGCACTTTTCAAAGTCTTGAATTCCCAAACGGACTCTCCTTTGCTCTTAAACTTGATCCTACTTTTGCCTGTGAATTCCATTAATTACCTAAGTTTAAAAACTTTGGGTACTTCTCTCTTCAAGTCTATTGTTTTTTGTTCTTGCCCTCTCAAGCAGTGATGTCCAGGAGAACATTCTGTGATGATGGAAATGTTCTGTGATCTGCTCTGTCCAACATGGTAGCAACTACCAGTCACATCTGGGTACTTAGCACTTGAAATATGGCTCGTACAACTGAGGAATTGAAATTTCAATTTTTTTTATTTTAATCAATTTAAACTTAAAAGCCACATGTAGTCAATAGCTACCATATTGGACAGTACAGCTTTAGATAGTTAGTCATCAAGCTTTGTGAACTCTTCCCAACTCGTAATCCATTCTTCTTGCCCGACCCAGAGAGGCCCTCTCTACTTTATACTGCAGAAGTTGCCCCTAGCTTGTGTTTCTGCTTCATTTTCCCCCATTGAATTTATCCCACATGGAGTTACAGATTTAGCCTTCCATAACACAGCTCTGAGCACATCAACCTTTTACTCAGAAATTTTGAATGACTCGCTATTGCCGCAAGATAAAATGTAAACCCCTTAGCCTGGAGTTTTGAGGCCTTTCCGTGCTGTTACTATTTACTCCCCCAAACACATTCTCAAACTGGATGGGACCCTCCTTTCCCCCTCTGATGTTTCTACCCCCACCTTTGTTCCTTCTGTTCATTCTGCAGGGAAATGTTCTCCCTCTCCACTTCTGCATTCCCAAATCCACATTTTCTTCAGGACCCTACCTCATGGCCACTACCATCGGGCTGACCCTCATTTTCCTCCCCAGTTATCCCTCCTCTCGACTTCCAATAGTAGTGTTTTTTTTGTTTTTCTTTTTGCTCACCATTGTTACTTATCACTTCTTGCCTTAGACTAAGAGATCGCTGTGAGTAAGCTCTGTGTTTGTGTGATTTTTGTGTTTTCACAAAACGTAGCAAGACTTTTTTGGATTTGTTAGATGTTAAGTAACTTTTATTGAATTAACAAAGAAATATGACAGTTTTGAGTCAAGATCTCCTGAAATGGAGGTCCTTAATTATCTTTTTACTTGGAGTAGGAATGGTCCTGAAGGTTTTCTGTTGTTTGTCTTTATTTGTTTTTGTTTTCTGTGGTAGTGGGGTGTTGCACAAAGCCTAGCAGTGGAGATTAAAGGTGAACTCACGCTAAGGGCAGAGGGTTACAGGATCAGGAGCCAGGCCAGTTATTATGAACATATGCTCGAGGGTTTATTTCAAGACTGAATTTGTATTATCCTGACTGGCTGATGATTTTGCTAATGCCACTTTATAACTGGTTTTATTCTAGAATTCTGGAGTATGTTTATAATGATGAAAAGTTTACTATGTCCAATTTAACTTTGTCTTACTGTAAGTCATTTTTTTTCATATTGGAAATCTATTATGTAGTTCTACTGAGTATAACTGAAGCCTTCAATCCTCCAGGCTCTGCAAGGACAGATATCAAGTCAGCAGGTTGCTGTAGAAAAACTGAAAAAGACGGCTGAAGTACTTTTAGATGCCAGGGGATCTTTACTTCCAGCCAAGAATGATATCCAGAAAACACTGAGTAAGTGTTCATTTCCTTGTTTCCTCTCTCTCAAGTAAATTCTAAATAAAGGTATTCTAATAGGTATGGAGAAAAGGTTTATTAGTATGTATTGTGTTACTTGTGTCCTTTTCCTGTGAAATGTTGCTTCTCAATCTGGGAGAAGGCATGCCTCTTTGGCAGATACATTAGAATCTCGAGAGTGGGGGCTGTGTGGTTTGCAAAGAGTATATTTAAATTTTAATTGTATATTTAGACAATGTAATGAAAACTCTTTATGTAATATTCACCACAGAAAGCAGAACTTAACAAGACACTCTTGGGTGGTGGGATCGGACAGAGCTAGACTCTCAGCCTGTGACAGGCCAAAATAGACTCTTGATGGGATCTGTCTCTATCAAAAGCGGGAGCATGGGTTTAAAAGCTTGGGAGATGTGCTTTGAGCAGTGTTCCCACTCTTTCATTTTTCAGAAGTCTCTGAGTGGTCTCACAGGGTTCCAGCTACCCTAGGTATTCAGTGACACTAGAAACTCATATCGAATTACAGTGTTTTTGTGTTCTCTCACATTTCTTGGGAGAAGAGATATTGTGTGTTATTCTTTGTATCTACTCACATTTTTGGTTTATACTAAACACACAGTGTATTATCAGTAAACATCATTTACTGTTTTATTATATTTTTTTGTTTTGACTTTGCTGCTTTTTATGATATTTAATGTGTGGTTTGAGGTTATTATATATCCTTATGTATGAAATAAAAACAACACAGCAGATGATTGGACATGTGTTTCACTCCAAAGGGAACATAAATTAAAATCTGAGTAGAAATTTTAGATAAAGAGAGGAATGAAACTCTGCTGTTCTAAAACCACTCTGTAGAAGAGAAACCTTTTTTTCCTTTCTTACAGACATCCAAACGCTTTTGATCATGTACCCTCATATAGGCACATGTTTATAAATTACATACACATATTATCTATCATGTTACGTGTCTTATAATTATAAAACACAAAAATAAAAAATTTAGAGTATAAGATAAAAATATGAATGAAAGTCCTAACATTTTTTCCCGTAACCCAATGCACCATCTTAACATCTCACATCGGCAACCCTGCTGTAAAGACTTGGGCATAGGGATTTGGAGGAGAAAGAAAGACTATGTTATATGTATTCTGTTATTTCGAAGAAGTGTTTTTCCCATTGTTAATCTTGCGCACTTTCGCTTTTATTTGTTTACAATCCACGTATTACATTATTTTAAGACTTTAACACTTCTCTTTGGCATAATTTTCTAGGAATATGTGTAAGTATATTTAAGATATAGAGGAGTTTCTCTGAGATCTAACTGACTTCTAGGAAAATCAGCTGCCTCCAAATAACATTCTTAATACATTTTGTTGTGTACTTTTTTCTAAAATAATTTTTAATTACTAAAATCAAGAATTTACTTGAATGACAACATTTTATCACTGAGAAGTCCAGCAAGACCAGTGACACTCAAAATGTGTTCATTTTATTAAAATAGCTTAGGAAATCACTTACCATGGTTAAACAGATAGTTAATGTGACTCTCTTGATGCACAGGTTGCCCGTTTGAGAAGCAGCTCACCTGTCAATGGCGACCTGCAATTCAGAGCATCTGCTCTTGTGACTTTCAAATTATGGTTCATATTTGAACCGACTGCTTAATTTTTCTGCCGATAGCATCATGGTGTTTGTTAAATGCCATCCCCCTCTCCTATCAGCATTCTCAGGGGCTTCATTGAGTTTTAATGACAGAAGCACGATTGTCTCTTTCAGTCATCTGAACTGTAACATCTCACTTCAGTGAAAATTTGTCAAACTCTTTTCTCATGATACAGTATTAGAACAATCAAAAAGAAATATTGTTTGTTTATATAAATTATGTTCCCTGGGCCATAGACAAGCATGCGATATTTCATTTTTATAGAGATGTTTCAGGTCCAAACTTTCTTCTAGTGAAGCAGTGTATTAGACTAAAACATTCAGAAATAATTAAAATACTTTTTGAATTCTTGGAAAACAAGTGATAAATTAAAATTAAAAACAATTAAAAACAGATTTTGAATGTGTGTGGTGGGGGGAGAGAGAAGAGAGGAAGAGAGAGAGAGAGAGAGAGAGAGAGAGAGAGAGAGAAATAGGTTAAAAATCATTGTTCTTTGAACTTTTCATTAGTCTGCAGTATAGAATGTAGGATGTTAAAATATAGAGCTTTAAAATTCAA